TGGCCATGAGGGCACTGTCCCTGCCCAGACCGTCATCGTAGGCTGTGCTTTCTCCTTTATAGCTATGACCAGGCTGGTGAAACCTGATCCTCATCACTTGGGAAGGCTGTATGGAATCTTGACAGGCAGGACCTAGCTCAAATTGCTTCTTTTCCTGGCCAGATAGTTTATTTATTCTTACTACTCTTTTCCAGGAAGTTAAGCTGCACCTGGAGATTTTTCATACATGAAATGGCCTTCAAATTAGTGAACTGACAAATGGTGAGACCTACTAAACGGATGAAATATCTAACAACTAAATGTTGCTTTGGGCTATCCATGTCTGTCTGGCTCGGGGGAGCAGTTTGGTAAATTTTCCTGTTGACTACAGATAATATGGGTGGAGAAAAGAAACCAAGGGCCCAGACCCAGGTGTAAAAGCTTCCTGGGTCCCATGTTACTATGGACTCAATCTAGAGCTCAAGCCCTGTCCTTGGACCAAGCAGTCCAGAAGAGGAGCCCAGATGAATGGTCTTACCAAGAACCACTCAATAAGCGAAAACGGCCCTCTCAAGGCATAGGAAAAAAGTGAATCTGCTGAGGGACTTTTAAAGCTGAAAATGACGCCCAGGCCACAGACATCCATAATGTGTCACACAGAAGAGTGCCTGGCAGTGTTGTGGCGAGTGACGGGTTATACATCCAAACCTCTGTTTGTCTGTTACTTTGGTGACTGATCTTGAGAACCAGCCATGGACACAGACAATGAAGAGCTCCAAGACCAAGGATCATCACAGGATGAACAATGCGACAAAGGCAGAGGCTAACGTTTCTGTTAAGGAACTGTGAGGACTAGAAGCTCCGAACTCTGACCCCAGAATCCCTGCTCTCCCTGTACAGTTCCCACGGTGCTTCTTAACAAAAAGGGGAGAGGGAGCAAAGAGAGTTACGGTGAACTTTGGTCTCTATCTTCTCTCCTCTTCTGAGCTGCAGGTGATCTCTTTGATAAAGAAGAAATCAGAAAAAGAAATACCTATCTTTTTAAAAAAAGATAAATAGCTGGGAATTTATTATCAGAGAAAAAAGATCAAAAGGAATGTGGGTTAGAGGTAGAAGTTGGATAGAAGAAGAAAAAGGAGAGGAAACAAGAGAAACATAATTTGAGACTGTCAAAGCAAGAGACTTGGTGGGTGGGCAGGAAGTGAAGCCAGAAAGGCCAGAGACAATACTGTCTTGTGGGAGCTTTAGATATGGCTAGAGAAAGGGATCCACATTAAAAGGTCCAGAAAGACCTGTCTCCCACACTGAGCAAACCTGCAGACCGTGACTCTCACTGTTTAAGACTGTACTCTCCCTAGGGCTTCTGTGTATTTTCGAGAGGGGAACTTTATTAAGAAGCTTATATAGTGTACATCGTGGTCTTGTTGGGCAAGAGAAGGGTTGAGAGAAACACTGCTTCCAAGCCGCAGTGCAAACTACCCATGATTTATCTCCTGGCCTGCCTTCATGTCAGCTAAACCTTTCCAGTTATTTCATGGTTGTACTTTGACCAGCATTTTAGCCATCCTTTCCTAGGAACAAGCATTATGCAACACTGCCCCAAAGGCATCAGGAATTTTTGTCCCTTTCCCCTCACCACAGTTAAGTCATTGTGTAAAGGCTTGATAGAATGTGGGAAACTTCTAGCTCATGACCACGCTCTCCTGACAATCAGGAGCAAGCTACTTCCCACAGCCATGAGTCTCACCGTGATGGAAATGTTTGGTTGTTGTCCTGTTGCCCTCTGCTGCCTTCCCCATGATCTTCCCCTCCAATTCCTCTCATTGCTCAAGGCCCAGCCTCCCACTCCAGAGCTGAGCAGAAGGCGCTCTGAACCCCCTCTCAATGCCTCATCTTGCACCACTCTGCACTGGACTTTCTGCCTTTTTTGGTAATTGTGTTCACACCTGGTCATTTGTGGCTGCTGCAGATTGTTAATTACTTTCTTCAGGCACAGCGCACGTCCTACTCGTAACAGGTGCTCAGCAGATGCGAGCCAAGCATTGATACATGAATACACGTACATCGCCCCCAAGGACCAGCACGGCTTGACTATGTTAAAGTTCTTTCTCTGTAAGATGCTGCAGCATACTAAGGAACACACATTTCCTTCCCTTTGATGAAAACATATTTATTTTGTCTGACCTCTATTGACAGGACCAAAAGATGGGCAAATGATATTGTTTCATCAGGTATCGCTAATGTCTTAGTTTTAAAAACATGCTTGGCACACCAGTGGAAAAAAAGAGAGATGGTAAGAGCATAGTAGGTGCACAATAAATACACTTTGAGTGAATGAATGAAGAGACAGGAATGGTAGAATAGGAAAATAGATAAAAACAGAAACAGAAAGAGGAACAGAAAAAAAGAGAGATGCATGGAAAATTTAGTAAAAAGGTAGAGTGAGGGAAGAAAGATAGGCGATCTAAGACTTACTAAGTTCTAAATCAGCAATTCTAGGTTAATACAAACTTGAACTTTATAATTTAACACGTAGGAAGCCAGCTGGGAGAGAAGAAGCAGACTCTGAAGACAGAACTACATTCTGATATGCACGCAGTGAGTGTGTGGCCACGGACAACGAGGTATCCTCTCTGAGCTCACTGCTTTCCTCTAAAACTTCCTATTTTGAAGTAATTTTATACTTACAGGAAGTTGCTAAAACAGCACACAGAATCCCAGTACAGTGTATCCTTCGTGTGGCTTTCCTTATGAAGTATGAAAACAAGGAAACTGACATCTACACAGTATTACTAACAAAACTGCAAGTCTTACTTGGGCTTCAGCAGTTTTTCCATTAATGTCTTTTTTTTCTAATTCAGTATCCAACAGGATCCTACACAGTATTTAGCAGTCATTCTTATCTCCTCTAGTCTTGATAGTGCCTCGATTTTTCTTACTTCCCATGACCTTGATACTTTCTGAAGAACAGAATGTCCCTAAATGTGGAGTTGCCTGGTACTGGTTTCATAATAGATTTAGGTTCACATTTTAGACAAGAATGCCATAGAGATGATGTCACATGCTCCTCCGGGAATCACACATATCGGAGGATACACACGATATTCTCATCATGGTCCTGTTGGTCTTCATCACGTGGCTGAGACAGCGCCTACCTCCGGTTTCCCACCACTGTTCTACTCTTCCCTTTGTGCAGAGCTGCTTTGAGCCCATGCAAATATCCTGCCGCACATCACATTTACTTTTACACAGTCATTTTAGAACTTAACAGTGTTTTCTGCCTGTAACAATTGTAAGTGTAGGAATTCTAATGATTATTTTCTTTTTCCTACATTTGCTAATTGTAATTCTCCCATTACTAGGAGTTTCTGCTCCACTACACTAACTTAGTATTTATTCATATTATTATGGACCTGAGAATATTTATTTCACTGTATAGGTCAGAATCTGGTGCCGTCATTACTTTTGTTGTGCATGCTTCACTCTCTCTTCATCTGTAAAACAGGTGGTGCCAATGGTTATAAGGGTTAATTGGGATTAAAATGTAAAAATGTCTGGTTTATTGTATCTACCAGATAGATATAAGCTCTTTAACTGCCCTTTCTTTTCAGGATAGAAAGCTATGCTAATGGGAGGCAGAACCATTTTAAATTAGTGAAAATGTGAATATAATAAAATCTTTTAAAATGCAATGCAGTTTTTCTAGTTTAAGGTATATAAAACAACTAGGATTTAGCTATCTTAGGTTTTTCTAAAGGGGTTTATTTGGGATCTGCTTGCAATGACTGTTTAAGAATGATTTTAAATCAGCATACATGTAATTTGCACGAAGATACACGCTTAAGAATATTTAAAAACAGACTGTTCTCTAAAGTAGTTTAAGTGTTTTCCCAGAAATCTTGTTTATGCTCCAAAGTTGCTTAGCTAAACTATTTTCAGAGATGATCCAAAGCAAGTCTCAACCCAACTGTGGGTCACATCATCACTAGCTCTGAATTAGTGATATCATTAATTCATCTTTGATTCCTAAGGTTATAGCAGTGAGTGGAAGAAATCCAAGTTTAATTTAAAATTAGATTTTAAAGTTCTGGCAATCCACTTTTAATTTTAGGTCAATTTTCTTTTAAAAGGGACAAGAATAGTGTCTTAAAAATGTGAGCATGAGTAGAACTAGAAGTTGAAAATACTTCATAAAATACAGTAAAATCCACTAATAAAATCACTCAATTTATAGGAACTTTCATTTTTCAATTCATTTTTATCAGTAAGGAAAATAAAGAATAACATTTTTTAAAAGGTAACTTTGGGTCAGTATAGTTTGAAAGCTCTCGTGCAGACTCCCAGAGAGCCTGTCTCACTCAGTTTGGGGTGGGAACAGGAATCTATAGATGTAACTTCTAAGCCTGCTAAGATGCTCCATCCTAAGTACTCCTAGACTGCAGTCACACCTGTCCTCTTCAGAACTAGCTTCTGGCTGGGTCTCACAGGCTTTGAAGTGACTTTCTGGGGCTGAGGACATGCACACAACACAGAGAAGAGAGGGTGATCCACGTCCCTCAGTGAATAGCTTCATGGTCCTCTGCGCATGGAATCCCAGGTGTGTTGGGTTTTAACTTCGGCCAAGGGATCTGATACTGTGACGGGGAATGGGCTAGACAGATATGGTTACAGACCATGTTTTCAAAACTCTAAAATGAGATTTAATCTCAAAAACACTAGTAGGGATGGGCAGAGGAGAGACTAGGGCTTGTAACTCTGGTTATTAGAAAGCAGAAAGATTGGTGCACTTGCCAATGATAGGGAAGAGAGACAAGGTCAATTAGGCATAAAGGCAAGCGGGCTTAGTGAGAAGGAGAGAGTGTGTTGTTGAGTTTACTGCCTGGAAAGAAAAACCGCCATGATGGAAGTGGCAAGACAGAGAGGCAGATGACATTAGTGACAGACAAAGCTATGAAAAAATTATGCTTAAAAGTTACAAATGGCAACTTCAAATACAAAAACAGCCAAGAGTGGCTCTTTACCTCATTAAATCTCATCACCAGGTCTTCCAGGGCATTGTGCTCTCCATTATGTGAGGTGAGAATGGATGCTGAGATGGATGCTTTGAGGCAGGGCAGGGACTTCTGGCATTCCGGGGTGCCCAAGTCCCGGGTTAAGAAGCAAAGGTAGTCAACTGGCAGGACTCTTCGGTAAATGTTCTGCTCCTGTTCGGTTAGGATACTGGCGACTTCCTCTGGGAACTGGATGAGGTGCTGCAGATCGATCAGGTCCTTGCTGATCCCAGCTGAACTTGAAGGGAGGGCATTCGAATTGGCCACAGAGGTACCTGATGGGCGTTCTGAAATAAAGCAAGTAATGTCATATTTACACCAAAGTTGCTATTCCCTGACAGGCAGAAACTGGAAAGGTTTCTTAGTCAAATCTTTTGCTTGGTGACTAGGTCCATACTATCTTGTTTGTTATGGAGACTTTTCTGATATCTGCCTGTCTGTTCTCTCTCTCCCCATACCTGTGAGGTGGACATAGTGCTTTTTATTTTCAGAAGTTACAATAATACAGCACATAATTCTCCAACCAGCTTACTTATCCTATCAGAGTGAAAACCAAAACAAAACAAAGCAAAACAAAACAAGCTGGATCTGGACACAGCCAAGTGAAATGGAAAAGAAAAGAAGGCCATACATACATGTGCATGTTTTATGTAAACATGAAGGAGACTTGGGGACCTAGAGACCCAGAAATCCTCTCTGCCCAGAAGATTTCAAAAGTTCATGGTATCATCCACTGTACACCTTTCAACAACTTTGATTTCATTGAGGTCCATTTGGGAGTTTGTAAGAATAGATTTGTCTATAAAAATAAGGATGAATAGGTAATAAAATATGTCTAAATAAAGAAATAAATCTTACTCACTAGTCTGCAGCTGGTGGCAGAAGGATGCAAGAGAAAATGTGGAGGCTGCATTATAGAGAAGTACCAAAGGCAGGGATTCCTAGGCTCAAAATGACTCCCTTAATTGGAAACATCATACAAGCATTCTCTTTATCTTGACATCCTCTCCTCTGCCTCTTATCTTATTGTGTAAAACTCATTCCTTCATTCACTCAATCATATACTTAACATTCATTCATTCATTCATTCACTCATTCATTCATTCAACAGGCTGTGAAAAATCTATGATAAGCCCTGGAACAGAATTTCCCAAAGTATGATCTTCAGAAGGCTGGTATTCAAAGAAAAACTAGTTTTGTGGGTCTTTTAAGCTGGAGAATTACCACAGATGCATATCACACATTTTTTTCCTGATGCATTACTCATGCCTGTGCACTGGAAGAGTCTTCCCATAATGGACCCACTTACATAAGCTTAACCCAGTGTTCCCAGAGTTCCCATAGATGATCTATGACATCATTCTATATGACTAGTATCCTTGGAACTTCTTCAGAAAATGCTACCCTGAGTCCAAGTTGCCCTCAGTCTCTATCTAATGTAAGTCTTTCCTTTCCTGCAGACACTTCCGGGATCTCTTTCACACACCTCACGCTGGTACAGGAGGGGACCATCCGCTCTTTGCCCACAACCTTTCTAACATCCCTGCTTTGTTTTCAATACCGTTAGTGGTCCCTTACTAAAATAAAACCTGTGTGCCACCTACCTGTCTTCAATCTGGGCACTGGAAGTTTATAGGAGGACTTGCTTTACCCTCTGACCTCAGTATTCCTAGATGTCTTTTTGTATCTTCATTGCAGGAATATTTGTAACTATCACTCTTGTCTCCAAGTTACTAAGTTTTGAAGTTACCATTTCTGAATGTGTCCTTACTTTTCCCCCAATATCAAAGCCACAGCCACCACCAAGTTGATGTGCTGTTTCTGTGAATGCTCTAGGTTCTGTTATTCTCCCCTCAACTCGTCCTGGTCTAAGCAGCTTACATGCCTTTGAAGCATCACAAAGAAAATTGATATTTGTTAAAATATTAAGTGAGCTACTCCCCTTTTGAGGAAAGCTTACACACTAGTCAAAAAAGAATTGTGAAGAGAAAGCTTTAACATTTGAACGACATTGCTCTCCACTGATGCAAATTTGGACTTGTTTTAAACATATTCCAAGTGAATATTTTCTTTTGTCTTTACTATAAAATTGATAGTCTCCAGATGATTGCTTCTCTTTGACTGTGAAAGACAAGCAAATAGTGAGGAATTTATTCTAAGCATTTTGTCCATCTTTTGGATTAAATTACCAAAAATCTATTGAAGCAAAAGTGGGAACTCCTAAATTATATTTGGTTCTTTTTAGGCTCATATTTTAAAGAGTTAAAATATTAAAGGAGTTAAATAACAAGGCAGATTCCCAAATTTAATCTGCCTCACTCTCCAAACTTGCTGAATAATTTAGAAAGTTAACAAGATTTCCTGAAAATTGAGTCAGAATGTGGTCTGATGACAGTAGTGGACTGCATTTTGGGGAATACTGATAATTTATGTATAGTGAAATAAGCCATAGATAGACCTTTTTCAGATGTTATCGACTCTAAAACACAAGAGTCAAGTACACTAGGAAATAAAAATAAGTCCTAAATCTTAAGAAATAGCCACTTATATGAGAAGAGATAATAAATAAAATATGCAAATTAAGATACCATGATATATTGGAAATGGCAATACATCGAGATATCAATCCCATGTTGTTACAATGAATGACAAATGAAGAGACTAGCAGAAAATGATACTAAAGCATATCTTTAAAAAAACCGAATAAAAACATGAAAGAGAAGCCTGGTTGGTATAACTCTAATAGGTCTCAGGATCAGAATGACATCTCCTTCAAAGGAAACACAAGTCAAAGCATGAACAAGGTGCAGCCCTTTAAGGTACGAAAGCAAGGTTTCCTGAGGGTTTTATACCATGCACCAAAGAAGAATATCCGAACGTTTTTCTTAAGACATAATTTCCTGTCCCCCAGGTCCTACACTATCAGTGCTGTTGTATTTTCCCCTTCTTTCATCCTGCTGAGTCCTCCTCATCTCCTCCTCCACCTCCACATGCCACATTACCCCAGTGCTCAGCTATACGCCAACCCCAGCCTCCCTCTCTATAACACCTGCCACATAACGGTGGATTATGGACCTAGAATAGTGGTGGCAAACCTATGGCACACAAGCCACAGCAAGCTGTGTGTATCACTGAAAACTCTAAAAAGTTTGCCCTCACTGACCTAGGAGCTCTTATGATCCCTCAGGCTTCCTCTACATCTTTGCAGTAAAGTTCAGAGTTCACTGAACACTGATTTTTTTGTGAAAGCCTAAAGGAAATTTCTGGTAAATAAAGTCATCTGCCTCATTTATAGTCAGTGCTGTCAACCCCATGTTCTGTTTATAGTCATTCAACAGCAGGATATGGCTGTATCTCCAGATACTGTCACGGCCTTGACATTGGTACCATAAAACAAAGTAATTTCAAATTCTACTTCTCTGCTCAGATATAAGTTCTGGTACTATGTGCTTCCCATGGATTAACTGAAGAGACAGTATTACACATATTTTATCCATAAGAAAACTGGTCATATACAGTCACATTGGTGGTAAGCCAGGCAGCTGGCATCTGAACAAGGTCTACTTCACTTCAGGTTCCTAGGCATCTGACACATACTGTTTCACTGACATTCCAGTTTATAGATGCATCTAAAGAGATTTTAGTGTCAATTCCCATGCTTCTTTACTCAGAGAAATCTGGCAAATAGCCTATTTAGATTCCAGTAGTAAGAATCTGACCAGAGAATAAACAGTTCCCTTTTTGGGTCAGCCTGGAGCCATCACTTCCACTCCAACATTACAATTGCTTGATATCATAACACATCGAAACTTAGCCTTTCCTTCCTGTGAATTTGTAAATTAATATTTCCTAAAATATTTTACACTGACTTTATGCAAAGTGTGGTTCCCTTTGTTAATAACTGGTTAAACAAAGTTATGTAGGCTTTTAATTCTAGGACTTATCAAGCTCTTAATAATTCTCACAAGGGAAATACGATATCACACAGTACTCAACCTTGTTGTCTCTGTATCATTACATAGGAAGCATAGTCTCTTCAAAAGGTTTCCCACCACACTTCATGATTCCCAGGGGAACAAATGAGGCCTACAGAATTTGTAAAGTTGGTGGTTCCAAGAGTTTTAGTCTTCCACAGTATAAGAATCCTAAGGTCTAAGGGTGAGAAATACTATGGTTTATTTAGGAAACTGCAAGTTATTCCCCATGCTGAACCCATATTAACAGAGATAAGGAATACCTATAAACAACCAGCAATAAAGCTTCATTTCCCAGAAAGCACTAGTGAACAGGGATGGCTCATAAAGGAACAAAGGCCACGCATGCTAGATTTTAAGTCTTGGGTGGATTTAGGTATCACTTAATCCATTCCCAGGGGCTGTACATTGATTGCACAACCCAGAAATACCAGTTAGGCTGGGTATAATATTCTATACTTGAGTATTTTTCTTTAGTAATCGTTCACTTAGTGCTCTTGGGGCATCCTTTGCCCTTCAGAGGCACTTAAAAAACAATACTCTGGGGGGCTGGGGATTTAGCTCAGCTGCATAAGCGCCTGCCTTGCAAGCAGGCGGTTGTGAGTTCGATCCCCAGTACCGATTAAAAAAAAAAAACAAAAAAACAAAAAAACAAAAACAATACTCTGGGCTGAAAATGTGATTTAGTAGTAAACTGCTTGTCCAGCATGCACTGGGCTCTGGGTTGGATCCCCAGAACTGAAAAGGAAGGAAGGAAGGGAGTGGAGACAGAGAGACAGAGAGAGAGAGAGAGAGAGAGAGAGAGAGAGAGAGAGAGAGAGAGAGAGAACAAGAGCTTGTTCAGAGCCTGATCTTTCACCCAAGAGCCTTTTCAGCCTGGGCTAGAATCCAGCAAAACCTGCCACTGAGGCTTCCTATTTATTTATTTTTGTGTGGTTTTTTTTTTTTTTGGTCCCCACTAAAAGTGATAGCACTTGGTTTTTCTTGCTATGGCTCATATGAAACTCTAGAGTTTACAAAGTAAGCTCATATAATCTCTGCATAATGTGGGAGTTATCATTCCTATCATAGGTAGGCACTATTACTTTTGTTTTGTTTTTTTTTATAAAGCTTGAGTTAAATTGTCACATGACTTACTCAGAGATTCAGCCTGTTGGTCAGCTTAGGAATCAGCGAAAGCTCGTAGAGTACTTGAAGGTTCTGGCTCCTGGCCTAGTACTCAATGTTACCTCAAACTGAGCTGAGTGATGTTGGGCACGCTCAGTACCCAGGGTCCAGCTTAGTAGCTGTCAGTACATCTGAATGGGTTTATG